TAATGGGAAAATATGACTTCAACAAAACTGTTAACTACATGCAAAAGTGCGTCGTGAAATTTGTGCATTGTTCAAACAAAATAACAGACAAAATGATTTACTAATCCCATTGCACCTACCCCGAGCATGCCAAGCAAAGCGAACGGGAAGAGTTCCATGACGTGCCATTGGGCCTTGTAATCTACATAGAACATGATTGCATGATCGCTACCAAACGGATTGAGTAGCCGGAGCACATTGGCTGAGACCATTGCACAGAAGAAGGAACGAAACATTGTTTTCATGGGGAAATAATAGCTCGCTTCTTCCAATGAGAACAATACGCCACCGATTGGAGCACCAAAAGCGACGGCCACACCAGCCGCAGCCGCGGCGGAAAGTATCTAGGAGAGATCAAGAGCGCGTTTTTCAGTGTGGGGAAATCATTTCTATCAAATATGTAATTGACGGATGACAGAATAGATATTCTGAATTGAACTAAAACATGAAACTGAGGGTAATTAAAACAATTGTACTGTTGTTATAGTGAATTGAGGGATTTAACCGAAATACGGTTCACGGTCTGATTGCTTTTAAACAGTGAGGGATATCACCGCGAACCGACAGTAACGGCGTTCCTCTTTTCGTTTTGAATCACGCTAAAATGTTAAAAGATTTATGTCTGTACAGTTAAACTGTAAACTTAGTGTTTCTTTAATTTCTCTCGTCGTCTAGTAGGTCCGTTTCCTATTCGCTTACAAACTTTAAATTTTCCATATACGTTTTAAGCCTGCCAAGAATCAACGAAATTTAGTTTATGGGATCCTGTTATGTAATTTTTTCAGTACACACACACACTTGTTTTGTTTTATGAACGGCAGTCGGGGTGAACCTAAACCCCGGGACTTGGAGTGGCGAACCGCATAGGATAGACGTGGTACTGAACCGGAGGACAGCAAAGCTGCCTACCATCAAAGTTGGGTGGCGGTGTATGTGACCAATGGTATTTCAGGTATCTTCATTGAAGGATGGGTGTGATCAACAGGACAACACAGAAATGGAAGAAAAACCCAAGAAAATTGTACCGTGACCAAACAAAAAATGTGAATATTGTCTAACTCAGGCCAGTAACATCTGCTGAACGTGAATACAATTACATAAAAGTATTTTAATGGTCAGGAGTGGTATCAAGTGATTATAACTGGTAAGACATTAGGCGTGACTGTGCGTGGCACAAACCTCTCGCTTTTTTGCTTCGTTTCGACCATACTTCGGGAAGAGGTAAGCCAAAATGTTGCCTACACAGGAAGCCATGTGAACCATTGGACCCTCTTTACCAAGGCTCAGACCGGCAGCCACCCCGAGGATCATACCGACGGATTTGATCAACAGCGTCCACTTGCCAAGATAGCCACGAATGATAAACCCGCCAAGAATAGTTTTGATTTCGGGAATACCACTACCTACAGAAATAAGACACAACAGAATAGTACATTCAACCTGGTCGAGATCTCATCAAACATACTTGCAATTCACGAAATTCTGTATTTTATTAATTTGAGATGTTCCAATTCCAAATGAGATGTCAAACTTTCGGTTCAGGTATCACTTCACGAATCCCTGGTACAACCTAAACAGTAAGTTGATCTGCAATAAATTGAAAACGGAACATATTAAATGAATACCTTAAACTCATGCCAGACGATCTTAAAACGCAAAAAGGCATCGAATACAGACAGCGAACTTGTAGATTAACTGTTTCTATTATTTGAATTAAAAGCAATATTGGACTCAGTCTATTACGACAAGACTGCACCTTGACGTGGTGTGATGGCTTGCGTGCCTACATGACCCCGCAAGGTACACAGAATGGCTCCTCCGTCACAGATGTAATCATACCTGAAAGGTCAATGGGTAGAGACTATACGAAGCTCAGTCTCGCAGGGCCAGCTGCTTGGGCACCTCTTGGCTTCCATCTATCCACACCCGACCCTGGAGA